TTAGAGACGAAAGAGTACGTCAGTTTGCCATTAGCTGTACGATTCCCATTGCTCGTCTTCATAGCCCATTAGTTTATTGACATATTATTTTCTATTAAGACATCTGTTGTTCTGTCATATGACCAAGAAGGCACCCAATCCGAAATTATACATCACTAGTGTGAGATGATAACATTTTTAGGAAGCCCTCTGCTAAAAATACTAACACTATTTTAGTTTAGTACCTTTATTTCTGCAGACCTCTCGGTGACTCGGATGGCAGCTTTTAGCTTTCCGCTGCCTGCCTCTGGATGAAAAGAGGGAAGGAGCGAGAGAAAAAGAGAGAGCCATGACTCATTCACATTACCCTCTGAAGTGGAAATCCTGAAAACGTGTCTTACTCACACACACACACACACACACACACACACACACTCTCATATGCACATTCAGCAGACTGCAGCTTTAATATTTGCCTTGGACAATGGTCCACTCATTGTCCACTCAAGAGTTTCAAAATACAGAATGATAATCAGGTGTATAATTTTTTACAATTCTAATTTCTGGGATATTAAAAGGTTAGATTGCACCATTAGGTTGACTGTGAGCACAGGTGCTGATTAAGTTGATTCACTGAGGCAATTACAGCCAGATCCCCTTTAATTACTGTGGGTTTTATTGCAACTGCGTAATAATGGTGCACAGGGCCTGCAGGAGTTTTAGATGGAGATGAGATTGCAAAGTATCACACACAGACACAAATCTGCAGGATGGAAGAGATCTTTCACAAACCCACACGCGCACACGCACACACCCACGCAAACACACACACACTGACATATGCACACACAAAAAACATGCCTTTCTCTCCGTTTTTCTTTCTCAATCTCTCTTTGTCACACACACACTTAAAATCACACACATACACACTCTGTCATTAGGCAGAGGGGAATACTAACTACACCAAACTTACAGGCCACAGCATTGCAGAGACTGATTCTAGTTACAATCCAAGAGTCGGGTAGAGCTAAGACTTATGGTGTGTGTGTGGTGGATGATACACACTCTTAAATTCATAGCATGTCTTCCTACACACATTTACACACAGAGACAGGCTGACACCCTCCTAACCTCCACCCTCTCATTCACACATACACACAACACACTTGCCACCCTGCTCAACACAGGCATGCAATAAGAAACAAGTCGACAGCTACACAGCAGGCAATATCCCCTGCCTTCAGCCTCGGTGCGCGTTTCGGATGCATCTGGTTAGTAAAAGCTGACAGAGGGCCGGCCATGCCTCAGAGGACAGCAGAATGAGGAATTTCGGCGTTCCTCCACATCACCCCTGAGATGCAGGAAACACTGGAGTGCCCCCACCCCCAACACAGACACACACACACTAACACAACCTGTGATGTGCTCCTAAGATTCCCTGTCACCAGGAATGGAAATCGAAAGCGGCACACACATCCGTTATCTAAATGTTAACTCCAGTGCCCTTCTTGTTGTCACAGCCGGACGAGGTTAGCCAACACAAGGAGAGGAGCTTTGCTTTGGGCCTCTGCCATGGCACACCCCTCTCAGTAGGAAGAGAGGAAGACTCTGATGCACACTAATCACAGTGAAAAGCAAATTCAGCCTCCTCTTTTGAGTTTTGCTGCATTATTTAGTAAAAAGTGAAGTAATGCAAAGGACTACTAATTACAAACTTCACCCTCTTCAAATCAAAATGAATAAGAATGAAATAATGAATGAACCCAGTGCAGCCACAGGTTCGAATCCGAGATGTGGCCTGTTGCTGCATGTCATGCCCCCTTTCTCTACTCCCCTTTCCTGTCCAAGACAAGTTTATAATTTCAATTCCGATAGTGGGTGTTTGCACCAACACTACTCTTTAGGTGCTGTGACATCAAGAAGTGAAATAATTACAATTGATTCAACTCAGAAGATGCTAATGTAATCTCCTCTCCTCCAAGTTCTAAAGTTAGAATTTCACAGTAGCTTCCCATCTTCTAGTAAAATTGTTGGCTTAGAACCAAGATCCTGTCATATTCAGATGTTTGATTTATAAACCATAATAATTCAAACCAGTGGAATTCATTGTGTCTTCTGTTGGCCTAAACCATTCATCCCATTCAGGGTCCCTGTGAGCTGGAGCCACAAAGGAATGAGTTCAGTCTGGGAAATTTATTTATTTATTTATTTCCATATTATTAACACATTAAGAATGCTTTTCACATGCCTTTAAAAAAAAGCCATTTTGTTAGCGTTAAATTATAATTTGTTTGGAATAATTAATTAGAATAGTTATTAACAATAATATTATAACTAACCATATATTCACAAGAAGTTCACCTATACCTCTCGCTGCATTTATTTTAAATAGGTTAAAATGTTTCAGTGTACAATCATTTATGCACGTGTATTCGTTACAAGAAAAGCCGTTTTAGCAAGGCTGAAAATATGTTTCTCCTGTTTGATTGTGGGGAAAAAAGTTTAACAACCTTTGACCTTATATGTATGGGAGGTCATGTTCACATAGTGGAACACCCTTAAAACTCCTGACCTGTGTGGTGCTGATTAATCACAGCATCATGACATGTGTCTGGCTTTAACCCAGAAGAGATGTGTGAGGCATGCAATGCCTCAGCACTTCTCCAGGAGCTCCTGTGAACAGGACAGATGGGGGTGAGTTGGTAGAAGGAGACGGGTGGAGACACGTGGACAGTTGCGTGGACAGACTTGAGACTCTGAATGCAGTCTGATGCAGCGCAGGCGGTATTTACGCTCCGACGACTGCGGGATCCGGGAGCCGGATATATTTAGCCGCCCAGAGAAATCGCGCTGAGATGAGATTTCAAAGTGAAGTACCTGTTTGAAGATGCATGGCATTCCACAAGGGTGGGCAAGGGCTACTGGGTATAAATCTAGCACCCCTGCACCTGGTGTGAAGACAGGGAGGGAGTGTGACACCTAAGATTTAGAATGACTTACACACAAGCCGTACATGTGTAAACTACACACTCATCCACATAAATTTACACACTACCTATGAATGGAAGACCGGACACTTTTTAGCATCCACACAGCATCACACACACATTTCCCCTGTGTCTTTCCCTTTTTGTTAAATCTAATTCTTCTGGATGCTCTCGGTGTCATCCATCATGGTCTGATCTTGGCTAGAGGAGATCCTGAGAACCACAGGGTTAAGAGGGAATAGAAATGACACTTTGGGGTGTATCACAGTCATATTCCTGAGTACAGCTAAATGACACAAATTTGATTATATTGTCATGGAAAGGGTAATTGTTTTATACGTTGACATTGTGTGCATGAGATTTAGAAAGCTTTAGACACCCCACTCAGCACGGAGAATATGTGTAGCTTCCATAGGCCTGGAAGCAAAGTAGTAACACATTAAGAAGCACCTTCTTGCATTATGTATGTCCATACCATTAATTTCACAGTAGAATTATATGATTTATGTTAAATTACAGGCACTCACATTGAGGGATCTGCTTGTTTATATAGTATTATTTAAATCTCAGTTTGTTGGCAAATTAACTTAAAATGTCTCATTACATCCTACATTTCATTGAAACTGAATAAAAGTGTTAGGAAATACCCTTTTTTCTTTGTTATTTTCTGTGAATTGTGTGTGTTGAGGATAACATCTAAGAACTCCACCTCCTAAGAACCTAAATACTCAGATCACAACTTTGATTTGTGGATCTCCTTGTTCCAGTGAAAGCTGTATGACTAGACGTAATCAGGGGTTTATTCTAAATACAGGTAGATATTAGAAGGGCTTACTTGATCTCTTTTACTGTTGACCCCTCTAAGGGCTACATGCCACAAGTCATTTACCGCTGTGGGTGACACCAAAATAAAATCTTTATTGGGCGTCTCTGAGTCTTTACATGCAACCCCCCCTCCTCCACCCACACACTCCCCGTCCATCCATCTGTGGAACAGACGAATGACTCTGATGGACTCCCTCTTTGTGAGGAATTTGCTCGGCTGCAGATTAGATTTTCAGGAATCTGCAATGTCAATGACACTTTAGGCAGCTGTGTTAAACGGGAGGGCATGGTCTATGTATCTGTCTGTGTGTGTGTGTGTGTGATCGGCTTGCTTTGTAAAGCCACCACTCACTTATTGCATTTCCCCTGAGCCTGTGACTCATTAATCAAATATTCATACATCCCCTGTAAATACATGGAGAACACAGTCAACCCTCAGAGCGCTGTGTGCCCCCCAGCACAAATGCTCTTTCATGTTTCTGACAAAAATCCCCAAATGTCCCATCCCCTCCCTACGCCTCCCTCCTGTCCATCCAACCCTTCCTTCTTCCTTTCCATCTTCCGAAGTTGGAGAATGTCTCGGGTCCTTTGCTCCTGCATACTTGATGTTCCCGCTCTGTCCACACAGCCGGTCGACTGTCCACTAAAAAAAAACACGGACGAACACACAGATCAAACAGGGGATCTAAATGATGCCTTTATGTGTTTTGCCATTGGTTCTCCATGGTAGAGAAGAGAACAGATGAGGGATTCTTCTTCCTTTCTGTCCATCCATCCTCACCCTTGCCCTGGCTCCCTCACAGAAGGGACAGTTCCCTCCTTTAAAAAGCACAGCTCATCATAATACAAGAATTTGTATTGTACAGGAAAACAGTCCGGCATAGCTCAAACTAAGAGGGCAACACACAGATTATCCATGGTAACAGAGCTTTGCACACAAGGATATTTTCTTTTCCTCCACAGAGGAACACAATTGCCGCCAGTGTCACTGGGTCACATTTTTTCCGGTCCCTGGTTAATGGGCTGTAGAGATGGTTAGCACGTACGATTAGTTTTAATCTACTTCATTTGACTGGGAGAAAAAGGGATTGAATACATTTCAACACACCACTGAGGTTTGTTTCTAGCACTGAAAATGAAGCAAACCGTTTTTTCATTCTAGTAGAGTCGCTTCAAATTTTTGAAGCGGACAAAAAAGAAGCAAACCGATTAAGAAAGTCAAATATGTTGACTTTATTCAACTTTTTTGCCTGGCAGTGTCAAAAACATTTTAGAGACACATTTTGTAAGTTCATTTATGCAAACAGACATGCAGGTGTTATAAAGCAGAAAAGCACATGAAAAGGATTCTGAATAGTTCAGTGTTTCTGAAGTAATAAGTCAAAGTGCATGATCAAGTTTGATAGCTTAATATGTATTCTGGCGTACTTCTCCACTACTAGTTTGTTAAAAAGTGTTTTCGTAAAAACAACAATATATATTTCAGTCACTCGTCAAATCATAAGTAGGAAATGTGGTAATAAACACAATATGAAATGTTCTATGAAAAAATACTAATTAAAAAATGCTGGCCATAGTATTGCACACAGCATATAGATTTGGAGGGCTAATATATAATTTCTCTATGGCTAGATTGCTATTTCAATTAAATTCACCTATACTATACTGTAAATATTGTAATTCCCTGAACCCAAAAAGATTTTTTATGTTCTAAATTCAGATGCTGTTTGTTCTGTGTAAGACAGACAAAGCAAATCTAAAGAACTTATAACGGATAGTGCTTAGACATAAACATGACATTGTCCGTTTGACAAACTCTCCTCACCACTGGTCACTTGCACTGTGATGCATAACTCAGTCAAGATTAATCCCACTCAAAAACACACCAGGGCGGGCAAACAATCATATAAATCACAACATCCTATATTATTGCTCAGAGACAGAAATGAGTTCTAGTGTAAATAAAATGTTGGCAGAATTATGAAGAAGGTGTCCTTCAGAGCATGTGTCCCATATGCTTCTGTTGAGGTGGAAAAGTCATCTTGTTCGGTGAAATGCTTTTGGCAGAGAAGTTTGGAGAAGTTACTTGACTCAATCTTGAGAGAGCACTTCGTCCACATTAATTAAGGCTTTTATAAAAGTCCTCTTAGCCCAATGCTAACCGTGCTTACAACACATACAAAACTGTAAATACTATAGCTGTAGTCTTATGAAAATATTTAAGTGGGCGAACACTTTTAGTCATAGTTACACTGCTCTATGACTGTTCTATAGTTACTATCTGTTGGCCTTCAAAGCATGTCGACGTTGGAGTGCTGAACTGGACCTAATTGATCATTATAAGAAAAGCCCTTTGAGACTTCTTGAACATGATGTAAGGTACAAAAAAAATACATAAAATCTCCCACAATCTGGTATGTTGATGGAGATGCTATCAACAGCTTGTCTTAAGTCCATAAAATAACTATGGAAAATGAATAGATGTTCCTCTTAACTAGAAAAAAAATGTTGAAGTTGTTAAATTAAGCAGAGCACCAAAAACAATGTCCAACCAGTTAGTAACAGTTTTGGCAAAAAGTGCTTCCTTGCTTGTTTCCAGGATGTTTTAACTTAATTACTGTAGAAAAATTCCATAACCTTCAATGTCACAAAAAGCTCAGACACGAGGCTTTGGATGTCAAGCAGTTGGATTCATTAAAAGAAGTTCTCTGTCAGTAGTCTTTTAAACGGCGTTGTCAAAGCAGCACAAAGTCCCCGGCAGTGGTGACCGTCCTCTGTGGGTCACGGATAAAGGGCCATTCTCTCTTCTCTGGGGTCAGGCCGGCCGACAGGTCGTAATCTCTGCCGTGACCTTGCACAAAAGTGAACGCGGGGTATTTCTCCTTCGCCGACGGCTGCAGCACCTGGAACAACAACAGACCAGTGTTTCAGGGGAGTGCTAGTGTTACACCATACTGTACATTTCACATAACAGTTTGCTTTGAATTTCATCACATAGCCTAATAAGGGACATTGTCTTGCACCTTATGTGTTTTCTCTTAATTACAGTATATTCATTTTAATACAATTTCTAAAGTCTTTTAAGCAGAAGCATGGTAGGTTCAAGGAGGGAAGACTCTGGTTTACAACATCTACCCAACATGTTGACTGGTTTGAGAAAGTAAGAACAGTCAGATTCATGGCTAAATGGTGCCATCTAGTGGTAAACTTTTATCAGACTGACCACATATTTTCAGGGCTCAACTCAGAATTAATATAGCATTATGATAACCACAACGACAATAATAAGAAATCTTGGCAGTGGTGAAGTTACTTTTGAGACGTCCTCTGTTAAGGCAGTCCGAATCCCTACCTTGGACAGCTCTTGTCTGATTCTCTCATAGTCTTGAACACTCCTGGAGTAGAAACCTATAGTGCAGCTTGGGTCCATCTTGCTGAAAGGCATCTTCTTTGGTGAGGGGCAATGATACGACTAGACAAAAAGACACAAAATACATCAGAAAATATTCATCAACCTGAAGGACCAGATAATGTACAACAACTGCGGGGCATACATACACTCCATGGCAGCGTCAACAGCGAATAAGATGTATTCTGCATCATTTGATGAATGAAATCCTATTTATCTGCTGTCACAGCATTCATAAATTTACAACTCTGGTGTGTTGTCACATTGTATACCACTGCATGCAAAAGCATAAAACAAAGTTGCTATACACTGCTGTGTGCCGATTTTTATGTATTGGTCCTGAAATATTCAGGCTCACAGTACCTGATCCGGTATTTGCCGTATTTCTCTTAAGTGGCAGCTTCACACATCTGAGCAGCAAATAAATCAGCAGATAGGGACTCAGTAATTGGGCCGAGGGCTGCTTTAAGATTCATACCCTTAAGTACTAACAGAAACTATTAAATTCACATTACTGGGGCCCCAGTCAGCTCGCCTGTGTAATTTCACATTACCTGGAGAGGGAAATCGCTGGTGCTGACATCCACAAAAGACTGACAGTAATGAGGGTCCATGTAAATCAAGCTGTCATCTGCAAGGACAAAACAAAAGACAAGTTATTCAAAAACATCGGATTATTACAAAAACGCGCTTCTCTCCAATTTCTATGCAGAGTAGCTCAAAGTCACTCGCTTGGCCTACTGTTAGGCTTGTGTGCGTCAAATATGCCTCCCAGAAGGTTGTTGCTTTTTAATATCCACCAGGGTGGATTAAATTCTGCATAATCAGATGCGTTTGTACAAGCACATTCTTTACACCCACAAAAAAGGGGTTGTCATTTAATTTTTGTGTGGGGGGAATTACTTTTACAAACATGCAATTATATTTGACCATTTGCATATGATAAATGCTGTGCTGAGCTGCGCCTTGGCAGGGAGAATGTATTGCTTGTCATTTAGACATCATCCACCACTGTATTTCAAATTGGTAAAATGTAAATGCGTAAATATTGACTGCCAAGATGTACAACTGAAGGTTCCTCCTGGCTCCTGAAGGTGATGAAGAGTGGCTCACTTTGGGGCCCAGATGAAATTTAATGCATGCCTCCTATGGAAATCAATTACAGCTCACAACTTGGGAGGTTTACTTGTGATAAATGGGTGAGGCTTTGATGGGTCAGAGAGAATAAAGTAAGCCCTGCTTCACTTGCTTCCATCTCCACTCCTCTCCGTTTTTCTCACGCAAACAGGAATACATTAACTTACTTTGTCTCTTCACATAAGAAGGGTATATTATGCAAAATAATCTGCTATTCACACCAACCGCTCTCTGTGTGTCTTTCTCTGTTTTGCATTACGCTAACACTAACCTTGAAATCCTACAAAGTAGCAGGCCTGTTTGGGCTTCCCTCCGATGATGCCTATGCAGTACTCCAGACTCAGTATGCTCTAAATGCAGAAAGAGGGACAAAGAAATACAAAGTACGTCTTACTGGGAGCCTAAATCCTTTTGTTTCACACGTTATATTTCAATGACTGTCAAACATACACACATATATTTTAAACTCACCATTCCCCATATTCGCCACTTCCCATTTACAGGGACATCTAAAACCTTGTGATCAAACACCAAAAGATAAAATCTGATTAAAAGAGAGTTCTAAAAACTACCCCAGGTCTTTCACCTTTGCAAAGTTAAAATAGTCAGGGTTTGTCTTCTCGCCTCCCAGTCGCACAGGGACGAGGATGATGACAGCCCGGTTGTCTGGCAGGGTGGAGGCAGACACTGGTTGGTCGATCTGTGGGGAGGGAGGGGCATCAGACCTCTCAGGAGAGGCCTGCCCTGATCTTGGTGCCCTGTGGCTATCGATGACATCAGCACTGTACACTATGGAGGATCAATAGCACAGAGGTCAAATAGGGGTGTTTTGTCTGTCTCCATGTTTGCCCTGTTTATCTGTCAGTCAATGGCTATCAGCCATTCTGTGTGTTCACCAGGCTCTCAGTCCTTTCTTTAAGTAACCATTGCTGGTTTCTGAAGTAGTTTTTGCCTATCAGATTCTTCCTTCTCATCATTGTCTGCAAAATGTCCAAATATGCATATATTTAATGGATTTACGGATAAAATACTAATACTATATTTTATCCATGGAAGAGTTAGAGGTATCATAAATACCACTTCATCTTGAACTATATCACAGTATATCACTAAATAAAATGATCTCATCTCTCTTCTCGCCTAATCATGAGCTTTTTAAAATGTTATTTTTTTTAAATATATATATATAAAATAAATACCCTGTTTTTGCTCAGTCCAAATACAGTCTAATTGCAAGGTAATTCCATTCAGGCTGCAACTAACAATTATTTATCCAACCAGAAATGTAGTAAAATGTCCATCACAATTTCTCAGAGCCCATGGTAATGTCCAAATAGCTTGTTTTGTGTGACCAACCATCCAAAACCCCAAGAGATTCAATTTATACTGATACGAAACAGAGAAAGGCAGCAAATTCTTACATTTTAAGAAGCAGGAAATCGTGCATGATAAACAAAGACATGATGATGAAGACATGATTTATCAGTCATTTTCTGTTGATTAATTGAATAATTGTTTTTGCCTTCAATTCCATAATGTATAGATGGTCAAGGTGTTGGGAGCAAACAAGTTCAGTTCACTCTCATATCAAACTCCTAACACACCAAAACACTTGCTCTCACTCCAGCTACCTTCTGCTCCGGCTATTGAGAAGACAAATGTGAATCAAAACCCAAGTTACTGGGGTTAAAAAGAGGTTAGAGTGGGACGTTATAGATTTTTGTAGTGGATGTGTTTGTTGGGGAATAGACACAGTGAGACTGCTGTCACCCTTCAAAGCTGCTCCATAGTCTCCCAGCAACACAGAGATGTTGGAAAAAGAAGGGTCAGTTTGGGCGTTGTGCCCAGTATCCTGTTTTATCAACAGCAGGCTCATCTTTCATACCTGTGCAGTCCTGGGAGACATATGCAGTTATACCCGCCAAGCCAGGGTCCATCGCTTCCTCGACAGCTTTCCTAAGAGAGAGAGAGCAGAGAAAGAGAGGAGACAGAGAAAGAGAGGAGCTTTTATAAATTTACATGCACAGCTTGTGCTAAGTAGACATCAGGGCTATACATACTGTATATTACCATGAACTTAAAAACTGTGATATTACCAATTCAACAATAAGTTAACTTGTGTCAAATCTGTGCATCTGTTGAAAATTCTAATGAGTGAGATGCTGGAAATGTATAAGCATCTTATCAAACACATACGGTAACATATTGTAAGGACAGATAAAAGTTTACTGCTCCTACATGACAGCTATGCGCAGACTTCTAGTGAGTGTAATAATTATACAACAATCACTTCAAACATGCACAGTTCAAAAAGGAATTGTGAAAATCCTGCTGGTTTCTAGTAATATCAGCATTTTATTTTTATTTATTTAATCCAATGTTTTGCTACCGTTGCCCTCTTTACTTAGGTACTTTATATCCATACCAGAAAATTCTGGATGAAATAATGGGACTTTAACATTAATAGTGGTGTCAGCGATTGATTTACTGGTTGTACAAATTATTACATTTTGTTACACTGATTGATTATTTAAGTCATGTATCAATTAAAAGTAATGTTTATGTTAGTAATGTAAAATATGTTGCTTCTCGAATATAAAAGTTTGCTTGCTTCATTCCATATTAATGTAAAATTAACAAATAAAAAATAAGTATTATTGTTGTGCCTTGAAGCCTATTTAATTATCATGTGGTTATACCCAGCAGTGGGGTGCATGTGACATGCAAGGTTTAAAAAGTTTGATTTTAGAGTAACTACAATTAGACTTACTTGAGGATGTGTGCCACGACAGCTGGCCCATACCAGTCCCCTGCCTGCTTCCCCATGGTCAGGCCCAAGCGGACCAGTCTGTGGAGGCCTAATTGAGCTGAGGGGCTGTCTCCAAACCAAGATACCAGAGTGCGGTGGTACATGTCTTTCAAATGTGCATCTGCCTCCTCTGCAGATCCTGGAGCCTGGGCGAAGTGCGCGGGTGGGGATCCATGATCAGAGGGCCCGGGGGATCCTTGAAGAGAAGCCTCCAGAGAGGCTACCAGACGCTTGGCTGCAGTGGTAGTCCAAGTCTCTGTGTCTAAAGGCTGGAGCGCCAGCGCCCCTGACCAGGTCCAGTCTGTGTAGGAATAAATCAGGTATCCAACATCAGCTACAATCATCTCATATGGATTCAAAAGTTATTAGCTTTAAACATATTCGTCAAGCAAAAAATGACCAAAACATTTGGAAAATAATAATTATCATAATACTAATCCTGATTTAAGAATTGCTCAAAAACACCTTGGACAAAACTCAATACTTGAGTAAACTGAATTAAATTAAAGAGATATGATAGATGGGTTCAAATCAACCGTAACACGACAACACAGAAAACAGATTCATGCATAACAATTAGAACAATACATACATAAAATCAGGGTCTTGTAGTGTTAGGAAAGCCTACAGGTTTTCAAAACTTGGTATCAGTAATAGAAAGTAATAAAAGGCCCCAGATATCAGATATCTATAGATCTCTGAACCTGATCATTCCACACATCAAAGTTCCAGTTAGAGCATCACTACTAAGAACAAAAAGTCTTTCAGAACTTGTGAAATTAAAGGTTTTGCTTTAAACAGACAGAACATTGTGCGCTTCAGTAACAGAATAGGTGTCGTTCTGTTCAATTATAAGTTTGAGAGTCCCAGTATTTCACTTTAACGGTGCCTTAGCCTTACAAACAGGGTGGGAGCCAAAGGCGGAGAGAAAGGGAGTGGCCCAGGCTATAAAATGGTCCAGAGTGGAGTCTAAGGCATTAACCAAATGACCTTGATCCAAAAGTGAATCAAAGTGAAATTGATCAATAAATATATTTAAGTGGCCATTAGTCATTTTATAGAGAAATATTTCATTAGTGACATATTTTAGATTTGACAGAAGAACAAGTTTTAAATATTGTTTTCTAAATGACTGCATTAAACTGGCGTTCATCTCATTATGTGGACCCATAAAGTCTAGGACACTTCAGAGACAATAGATCTGACAAAGATATGAGGAATTCACTCATCTTAAATGCCTTGCATCAACCAAATTAAACTCTGACTTTTCGGTCGAGAACGTGAAAACTCTCAACACAAGTCTTCTGGCTTAGAGAGAGAGAGATACTGAAGTGAAAGGAAATAGAGAAACTTAACAGAAGATACGGTTATAGAGCGCTCCAAAATTAACTCAGTATCTGACCTAACCAAAAATCACCCGTAGTCTATTTTACAGTTGCCATTTCTTTATAATTAGAACATACCACATTGTTTAGTTTCCCACATGTTTAGCTACTGTTTACCAGGTGGTTAAAGTGTCCCATTTAAATGTCTGTGTTGATTATATCAACAACACCTGGGAGCTGTACAGCGTATCTCCAAATATCCTCTCCTCTTTTACAGTGGCTGTTAAATAAGAAGGTACAACCAAAATTTAACACCTAGAAGTTTTCATACACCTTGTTAGATCACTGCAAGGGGTTTTACTGTAACACAGCTGAGGTACCATACCGTCATTCCACTCACCTCTGCCCAAAAAATGCAGGATAAGTGCCTGAGCCAGCATCATCTGCCCGGCTCTCAGCATGCAGCCCCAGCCGCAGTCGGAGGTCAGGCTGGAGCCGGGCAGGGGAGGGAACTCCTCCCTGTAGGTGAGCCACACTCGGGATGCGAAATCCTTGCGGAAAGCTTCCACATTCCCCATGACGTCCTCATCGGAGGGATCATGGCAGGCTTCTGTAGGACTGTCATCATCTGAGGCGAATAAATGACATGAGACACATTCAGGATTTGCAGTTTACTTTTCCAAAACTCAATACGGAGAGGGAGAGAAATCTACTGGCTCATCAATTTTAAGAATTCTATTTCTGTTTTGCTTTTGCTTGTATTGTTTTCAATCATTTATTTCTTGTTTTGTTTGTGCTTTTGCTCATAAACTCTGTAAAGCACTTTGGGTTGGCTTGGGTATGAAATGTGCTATTTAGATAATTTTTCATAAGCGGGCATTTTTATTTTCAAGGAATTTTTTCAAAGGTTTGTAACATGCAAAATAATAATGACACACGTAAAAGATTTTGCCACTATTCGAAAACCTAAATATTTGTAATTATGCTGACTCCTAACAGAGTGCAATCTGACAATGATTTCCCAGTTAATGGCCTGAATGGCTACGAGTTAATATTGGCGCTACACTGCTTTGTCATCATGATATTTGGTCTCTGCTATCAACATAATGAAGTGTTTGGTAACAGTTTCACTTGTGCTCACCTGACCACATACGGCTGTTACAGTATTAATGGGTATGTATGCGTGTGAATGTCATAACAGGGAATGCAGTCAGTGTGCATTTGCATTGTGCTTGTATGTGTTCGTGCATATGGGTGTACACCTACCTTCAGTCTTAAAGTGGTAACATTTCCCGAGGAGAAGCACTGGGGAATTTCTACTGAATGAGGTCTTTGATTTCAACGCCCAACCTAAGATACACAACAAAAAAAGAAGTTTGGTTGATGATTGAAACACACAAACAAACTCTGAGACGCTCTATTTACTCTGCAACACCCATCATTCAATGTTCTGGATCGCTCCCAAGAGTCCTGCCTATTATTGTGCTATGTTTTTGTTTACTTCCTGGTACATAAAAGTGTTACACACAAGCCAGTGTGGACAGTATGACAAAGAACTATTTTAAGGGCTGACTCAACAGCAGTAGGTTCTTGTCTCATTGGATTCTGAGGCTTGTTTTTATTTGTGCATGTTATTGCTTATCTCTTGTTACAAATACAGAGTGCAGATAACCTAATTCAAATTAAGTCAAGACAAGAAAATAAGATTGTGGGCTATATCGACAGGTTGAAAGAGCACAGCGGTGATGCATGAAAAGCAGTACAAACAAAGTGGACAGAGAGGACTAAGCTTAGGTGTGTGTGTGTGTGTGTGTGTGTGTGTGTGCTGACCTCAAGCAAATAAATTACTTACTGTACTTCACATTGTGCCACACTGACAAGAACTTTGTCCTCAATTTTTCCACCTCGTCGCTCCCTTTATTCTCCATTTGGACCAGAAAGGACTGGAACCCATTCCCACACAGCCTTTAAACTCTGGTGCACACAGTTAAGACACACACACACACACAGTAAGCGGTATCACTTCACACTGAAACATTACATTACATCTCAGATTGAACTGGGCTCGTCGTTACCGTAGAGCTTCCATACAGGCGGTGTTTTGCTCCAGCCGCAGCCGCCCTGAAGCTCCGTACGAGTTACACCGTCACATTAATATGGATCATTTAACACACAGTGTGTCGCCCATGGCCAGCTGTGTAATTGAACACTGCCCTGCGATCGCCAGTGTTTACATGGAGGAAGTAGAAGGACCATGTCACGTGATGTCGAGGTATTTCCGCCGGTGCTAAGGCTCGATTTATGTCACCAGGGTAGCCCGAGTGGGCGGGGTTTAAGTCGTTTCCCCAACCACTCACGCTGTCTCGAGTGAACACGCCGCCTGTCTGGGTTGTTCTTGGCAACAAAATAAGCGTAAGTGTGTTGTATGAAGGCAGGGCGACGGATAAAAAGCCACATTAATTACACCACTTTTAATTATGATTCCCCCCATTACTGCTATTCCAATGGTATGTTGATGATCATCCGAAAATAAGTTTATCTGAGAGTAACACATTCACGGTGACGGTACAAATCATAAAACCATTTACTAGTGTGGGGATTTTTTTTTCTTATCAATTATGTTAGTTAGTTTTTAAGTTGTTGTTTTTTTCAAATCAGACGAGTTTGTATTGTGTTTATTTTGCATACGTCTAAAAAAAGGATAAGATACATTTCATATTTTGTCAGGTGAATGTCTAATCCTCCAGGTAAAATTAAATAAAGTTTAAAATTCAATGCCAGCATGGGAATTGATTTAACGGAGAAACAATGGACAGATTTAACCTATTCTACACATTAAGTACAAGTGCATTTCGTTATAACATATTTAATGGTTTATAATAGTGCCTGTAGTATAAAAACCCTTTAAACAAAGCTGTTAAGCGTTTATTCCTCACAGCACAATGCGCAGCGGCTTTTCACTGGGTGTGTTCTGTTGCGCACCAACCACGGTCACTACGGTAACGATCCCATTCTCCCGTTTTCCAGTTTTCCCTGTGGCCGTCCTGAGTGAGTGAGTGAGTGGAAACCGGAGCCTGCCTGCAGCCTGCCTGCCTGCCTGGGAATTTCGTGAAAGCACATCAGCGGCCACTGCCATGGCTGAACGCCGCGCCTTCGCCCAGAAAATCAGCAGGTAAAACGGACCCAAGACCCCCAGAAACGAGGCGGCACCGAGCACTTAGTCGCCCGTATTTAGGTCGCCCGGCTCGGACCACTGCTGAGAGGAACCCCGTGAAGGAGGCCCAGCTGCCACAACAGCCTGGCTGCTCCGGAGCTAGCCGCTTGTTAGCTATTATATGGGCAAGAGATGCTGCTCAGACCCACCCAGACAGACAGCGACACAGCTAACTGTCTCTCCTCTCTCCAACAAAACAGCGACATGTAATACGGGTGTATTAAATTAATTTTGATAAAACAGGAGTCGGGTTTTCAGTATTTTTTATTATTATTATTTTTTTTTTTACAGTTAAATGGAAACCGTTAATTGTGGACAGTCGACTAGCCTACAGTAGCTAACGATGAGCAGCTAGGGACACTGGGAAGAGAAGAGATGTTAACTGAAGTTTGTAGAGTTTTTTTGTTTTTAAAGAAAGACATGAGAGGGCAGGTATTTGTTATACAGTAAGACAGGGAACAAAAGTCTCCCTGAGCAGCTATCAGATGCCGATATTATAATCTCCTCCCCGCCCCTCAGACGGATCAAAGTAATCTCTTTAACAAAGGGCTTTGTGCTAGCTGTCAAATACCATCATCCCAGACGATTGGTAGATATATAATAATATATATAATATATATATAGATGGGTAGATCTGAGAGCTATCAACATAAACAGTGTTTTAATTACTGCCATTGCTGATTACTTAATTCACAGCCAAGTCATTTGGGTTAGTTATTGAGCAAAAACTATTATATTTGCCTGCTTGTTGGTGCAGTTTTTCTCTCACTGAAATAAGATTTTACACCCTGATCTGATGTGTTTTTAGAAAGGAGGGGGTGGGGTCTGCTGTCACTGTTGTTTTCATTTTCTAAACAAAATGCAAAACGCACCTGTTCCTAAATGTTTTTATTCTTACATTTTACAATAAGTTCATTTAACCATTCAACCAACACTATAGGGCTGGATTCTGAAGTTGCTGCTGCTTTGATCATGCAAGTTGTTGTCGTAAGGACTGGAGGTGTATCCATGTATTAATCCAAACCACATCTAAGTTTGTTATGGATGAACGCAGACTGGACGCACCCTCCTCATGACAGGATGATTCATAGATGTCAGCTAACATACGGACATACGCAATGATACCACACGTACTGTACTTTGTAATCCCACTTATTACCACAATATGACAAACTATGGCTTCAAAATGTTCCATAAAGACAAGACGACGACTTTTTCAACATTAAAAAACAACATATTGCGATTATTTTGACAGATATTGCGATTTGCAATATGATTACATACTATAGCATTACATTAATGCACCCCTGTCTTCTGCACAGTTTTCTTTTCTTTATGTATTTATATTTTGAAAGTACTTTATTTATCTGTGTGATTCGTATATTCGTATTTGTATATTTTATGCACCAGTTGGACACAATCCTCGTAGTTGTAAAAACCTTCCTAAAACATATTTCTGATTCTGACTCTGATTGAGTGAGAGTGATAAGTTTTGGATCACAAATGTAATCTTGTTTGGATCTGTACGAAACAATATACAACATATTTTCTTACACCTGGACCACAAGAGGTGTAGACCAGAGCATCTCTGCAACACTACAGTACTTATCATTAAAATGCTGTTTTGTTAACATTTTAAAAATTGCAGCTTCTGAGATTTCAATATTTTACATGGCCATATTGTGTTTTCTTAAAATAATATTTTGATGAATTATGCAGCCATTATTATAACCTTAAGAAAAGGCACATTTATGGATGTCCATTGTGCCAAATTACATTATAATGTGCAGGTCTTTGTGATATAAACAACTGTTTGAATCTCAGTGAAACTTTCCCGAATGGATAAAGATTAAACCATTGTTCACTGTTTTTAACACTCAGTAGTGGACACTGTTTACCGTACTCATGTTATCCATGAAGCAGTGGAAATAAGTGCCTGTATTGTAGCTGTTTAAGCACGCAGACCTTTAGTAATGGAAGTGAGTTAGCTTATGTTGCATGTTCAGGAAAATGTAGTGAGTAAATTGCCAGTGGCTTTTAAATCACACGTTTCAGTTGAATGGTTTGCTTATATTATGCTCTTCGATTGCCGCCAGTTTATATTTTGTTCCTGGGAGTTATTGTTGTTACCATCTTTAAGAGATAGAGCCACAAAGGCTGTTTGTTTAATCAAGTTGTTCCTCTGTGCTAAGTAAAGGTCTTGACGGGACATCGGGGACGACTGTGGAATGTGTTTGTCGGTTCAGTCCTTCTGACTTTCTCCAGCGGGGACAACACTGCACTGCAGAGGCCGCTGGCTCTCTGCTACAAGTATAATGTTATCTAAAGCTGACAAGTTGGACCGTGCAGTTTTTATTTTACCTTCCTGGGTGAGACGATAAGCTTAAACGTCTGTGTCACAACCTCGCCTCAGGCTTCAGGATAATTTCGGTTTGTATACACAGTACTTTTTGTGAGGGGACAGTGATGAACTCAGCACTACGGTGGCTTTGGAGAAAAACCAGACTCGGGTCAGACGTTTGTGGCTTTGCGACCTTTGCTGACTGGATCACACCTCATCCTTGGTCGTGATTACTGTAATCATGACCAAGAGTTTAAAGTAACCTTGAAACTAGTTATTGTGATATTGCTTTCAGGATTGAGAACGGAGAAGGGAAATGGGGCAGCTTCTTGGTAATGAAAAATCATAGTTAACCATAATAATTGTTGAGTCCGTATAGCCTCTGTGTGACCTGTGTGACGTGACCTTGAGTCTTCAGTGTCTACCCTTTATCCTTGGTTCTAATTTGTTATTTGTTTGTGTTACTTTGGGCTACTTGCTGCGTAGTTGTTTTGTTCAAGGCAAAGGTCTCTGAGTGGTTTTGGTGGTTGCTGTGATTTAAAGGACCTGCGTATGGGTTGGAAACCAAGAGCTTTGTGCTGACCACTGGGGTCCAGAGGCTTTTATTTCTTCTCTCTCTCTCTCTCTCTCTCTCTCTGGGTGTAATATATAATACTGTTCGAGGCGACACAGTAAGACTGAGCAGAGACACAAAGAGAAAATCCTAAAAGGGCCAGAAATGTAATCTTCAAAGTTAGTTAGCCTTGCCTTTGACAGCTTAAGCCACTTGGAGGAACGCTGTGTAGGATTTAGGGGGAACTATCGGCAGAAAGTGGCAGAAATTTAATATAATATTCTACAGTGCTCAAACACTGACTCTACATAGGGCCTTTCGTGGCCACCGTAGGCTTACCTACACGCTTGGAAGGGGAGGGTGAAGTTTCACAGTACTGTACAATATAATTACATAATATAAGCCACTTTGGGTTAACAGTAATTGCAATGTTAAGTTCTCCAGGTATAACAGTTAAATATCCCCCCAGCTATCACTTGTGCCTGGGGTATTTAAAGTATTTCATTGAACTGTGAGGTTAAACTGGCTTTGAAGTGTTTCAGTTAGTTTTCAGAGACACAACGAGGGAGAGAAAACAATGTCAAACCGTGGACGTTGTAGTTATAGGGTATGTGCCTTAAACCATTAGGGTAATCGATATGGGGACCCCCTTAAATTATGTATATGTTGCATAATTTAGCCATTTTAGGAGGATCGTTTCCTCTTCAGTTGCACAGGTATTAGGATGTGTTATACAAGATTGCCTTAGTATTCACCATAATGCATCATAGCTGCATGTTCAGTATTGTGTATCGCAGAATCACCTGTGTTCGAATCCCATCATTACTCTGGACAAAATGTTGCTATGTTATTGTTTTGTTTCTTTACCTGTGATTATCGCCTCTTTTTACTTTACGCTAACTATATCTAGTTTGTGTATCATTCCACATATTTGTATTCATTTCTTTCTCTCTCCACACCTGCCTCTCCTCTGTTTGCAGGACTGTGGCAGCAGAGGTCAGGAAACAGATAGCTGGCCAGTATGGAGGCTCCCCACAACTCTTCAAAAACCTCAACGTTGGGACCACAACAAGCAACACGGTGAGGGGTCTCAAAGACTACTGAAACTGAAACATGATTGACATTCAGTCTTGGATCATTATGCTAGTGTGACAGCTGCTGCTACTGCTTTGTTTGAAAACGTCAGACAACCAGCCTACATTACAATGCCAGTGTCTGTGCTCTCAACAGTTGAGCTACTGTTGATTTTTCACATTTGGCCAAATACAATTATTGTGTGTGCTATGTTGGGAAAACAAACGCATGAACCAGTGAACTGTCTGCTCATACTGGGCTGGTTTGAAAACAACATACTGTGCACATATATTTATATGTATATTTATATACACCTCTCACTGTTGTTGCTCAGTGCGCAACTGTAGAGTTTTTATTTAAACTTCAACATTTTGAGATGTAGGTTAAATGTTAGACATGTATCATTAAGCAAGTGCAGTATTTGAACAGTAGGGATGCCTGCTGACATTGATCTAAGCTTACCACAATATTACAACCCGTGCCATTTTCTGTTGAGCTGGTGGTTATTTGAATGGCTGCACAATTGTTATTTTTTTTTAATCTCTTGCTAAATACCATCAGGGATACCCATTGATTGGCCTGTTCACCACATCAAGTCTCTGCTGCGATGTTTCTAGGGTTACGAGTGTGTGAGGCCAGACATTATGTTTGTTAGAGGGCTAGTGCCAATTGACCTTCAACAGCCCTGAGTCAGAACACTGCAAATACTCCCCCTTGCCTCCTTAATTAGGCTACAGTTGGCTTTTAATTAAACTGTGAGAGGTATTTGTGTTCAAATTCCTCAAGAGGGGGAGACCGAGACAAACACACACACAGACATTTACACTTAAACGGAACATCTTCCCATCACTACAGAAGCAGGCTAGTGAAACCATTAGTCTTAGCTTGAAGTAGCACACTTGTTAATCTGGTTACTTAATTTTCCTGTTTGGAATGGAAAGCTGATCCATAAGCTAGAACTGCTGTCTCAACAGAAATAACAGAAATTACCTCATGTTTTGGACCCATTGGTACTGTACTTGGTGCAGATTCATAGGCTGACTAATAAGCCATAACTCTGCTACTTTCTTCAGAGGTGGTATAGGGAATCAATCCCCCGAAGCCATTACTAAAAACTAGTGACTTTAAGACTTTACCAAGACATTTATGTACAATAAAAATAAGAAGAGGTGCAGACAGGAGAACTGAAAAGCTGACTATGTCTTCACAGCTAATTAACTTTTCCCATCTCTCTGATCTCTCCTTCTCCCTCCTTCTCATCGCCCACCAGGTTCCCCTCACAGAGGCGGTGGAGCCAGTGGATTTTGAGGAGTACCTCATCACTCACCCTCCCATCGTTGAGTCAGGTCCCCTGAGAGATCTGATTGAGTTTCCCCCAGATGATATAGAGGTCATCTACACACCCAGGGAGTGTCGCACAGTGGTGCAAGCCGTCCCAGAGGAAGGGTAAGGATGCTGTGCGGTTGGAGTTCTGTAGGTGGTAGTAGCAGGTGTGAAGTTGGTACAGTCTCACCATACTTTCTGTTTTTTTAAATTTTAAATTTGGAGGGAAATATTTTTTTTCATTTGTATTTTGTTTTACAACTTCATCCACATTTTAATTCCATTTTCCAAATCTGTTATCATTCACTTGATGGCAAACATTTGCCAAGTCACTTTATTTAAACTGTATGCTTTGGCCGTGAGGCTGTGCAAACTCTTACCTCTTCAGCTTTCCTTGCTGCATTGTATTAGATACGGATTTTTGTACTGTAACTATAACAGCTGCACCACATGTTTAAACACAAAATTCCTGTGGGCTTGACACCATTATATTCTGTAACTCTGACTCCTGGTATTTCAGAAGAAGTGGCGCAAACACTGCAAGTGTACTTCAAAGTGTGATGTACCAGAAAGATTAAATGACACCAGTCAAGTGACCTGCTATCTTTATTCACTTAGACTAATGCATTTAAAGTCTGACTTTTGCTATTAAAAGCAAGCTTTGTTTGATTGATTAAGTCTGTCTGTTCTGCAGGGATACTGATGCTCATGTCAGAGACTGTGTCAGATCCTACACAGAAGACTGGGCCGTCGTCAACAGAAAGTAAGGCTTGGATTATATCTGCAAAATATTATATTAATAGTGTAATATAACTATTTTGAGCAAGGATACGTTAAGGACAGAGTTCTAAATGACTGCTTGCTCACTCAGATACCACAAGCTTGGTACAGGCTTTAACCCCAACACCCTGGACAAGCAGAAGGAGCGTCAGAAAGGCCTGCCCAAACAAGTGTTTGAGGCTGATGAGATGCCTGACAACAGCACCTACCAAGATGACCAGGTACCAAATCTATTTATCTTCATTTTTGATCTCCTCTTGAAAATGTCATTTGGATAACCATATTTATTTTGATACAAGAGTTTACCAAAATGCTGAGCAAGTGAGTTGGTGATCTGTGACACTCATTTTTGGGTGTTTTTTTGTCCTTTAGGATGACATGAAGCGGCGGTCGATGTCTATAGATGACACCCCACGTGGCAGCTGGGCCTGCAGCATCTTTGACTTGAAGAACTCCCTACCCGATGCCCTACTCCCTCACCTCCTTGACCGTGCCCCCAATGAAGAGATCGACAGGCACAATGAAGAGCAGCGCAAGGCCAACCGCCACCGTGAACTCTTTGCTCTGCACCCCGCCCTTGATGAGGTAGAGTTTACCCCTTTACCTAGGCTGGAAGCTTTTTCTTCATGTCACATCCCATGTACACGTTACCCAAATAACTCCAGGATGTCATTTTATTTGTTATGAATAAATTAGTATTAATTAAGTCTAAGTGTTTTCACAGCATGGTCGTTTTGATCATATTCACTGATTTTTGAATGTGATCTTCTGTGTGAATGTGTAGGAGGAGCCCATTGAGCGCCACTGTGTGCCTGAAGTACCTAAAGAACACTTTGGCCAGAGGCTACTCGTCAAGTGCTTGTCCTTGAAGTAAGTGGTGGACAGCCTTTTTCAGAAAAAAAGCCCTTTAGCTCTTTTATTTAACTGCTGCTTTCTGCTGACCCATTCCTTTTTCTCTCCCCTTGAAGGTTTGAGATCGAAATTGAACCCATATTTGCTAGTTTGGCCTTATACGATGTCAAGGAAAAGAAAAAGGTAAGCTGTTATGCTTTCCACAATGCCTCCTCAGCCCTGAGTTGTTGGGTCACTTCTGCAAACCATTAAAATTGTTGGGAGGCCAAAACGAATTTGATGAGTGGACTATAAAATTTTATGTTGTGGCCCTGTTATGCTTGTAGGAATGCAGTTAAATCATACACTGGAACTATGTATCTATCTGAAGAAGACCATCCACTGCTGGGTCTTTCCACTCCCTGTTAGCTGACAAACACTAGAGGGTAGCAGTTGACTTGATAAGTAGACGTCTCATATATATATTGCTCTGCACAGGAGCGCCATTATTTCACAAGTGGGTAATTTGTCACTGAAATGTTATCATGTTTGTCAGCCAGCATGAGCAAGAAATCAGGTTGCAGTAACAGTCAGTCACTCGAGAATTATGATTAAATGCTAATGGTTCTGATGTTGTGGCCATAATATTCAATTTAACATCTATGTTATGATCACCTTATAATTATTGTGTGTGTCTGTCTGGATGTGTCCCTCAGATATCAGAGAACTTTTTCTTCGACCTGAACTCTGAGCAGACGAAGTCGATGCTGCGTCCCCACATTCAGACAGCAGCCATCTCCACGCTGGCACGCTCTGCAATATTCTCCATCACCTACCCCTCCCAGGATGTCTTCCTTGTCATTAAGGTCAGACAGTTATGATATCATTTCTATAATGTCTTGTCAAGTCTTGTTTGGCAATTTCCAACACCTGTTTTTGAAAAAAGTAGTCTTGTTGGGGAAGGTTAGTCCAAGGAAGCGAGACTCCTCATCCCTGAAGAGGATTCAGTCCACGTTTCTGCAGTAAAGACATTGGGAGACGCTTTTGATTTTTTCCCTCATTATTTCCTTAATCGCGGCAGAACATTACACAAGCCATTAGAAGCTCCTGTTGGTTTAACCCTGAAAGACACTATAAATAGACTTGGAGGAGACAACATGTTGTTGTCAAATACAATACGACCTCCACTTTTTCCAAGTGTAATTTCCAGAAGAAGGTGTCGTCTTATATGTGGGCCAATACCGTCATTTAAATACGATTGGCTTATATTTGACCGTAAGTCTTTGTCCTGTATTATAACTTTTATTGCCTTGTACATGATGGAAAATTTGTGCTTTGTTTCTAGCTGGAAAAGGTACTGCAGCAAGGTGATATTGGAGAGTGTGCTGAGCCCTACATGGTCTTCAAAGAGTCAGATGCTGCTAAGGTATGATCAGTGTGAATTATATTTTGAATGGCACATAAAGAATTTGAGGCTTGTCTCAGGTGTGTTGTAATACAGTACAAGTTTTATTTTTATTATGTGAGCAAATGTTCAGTTTTAAATATAGATTAATTTAAGGAGTGCTATCCATTTTAAAACTTTAATGTAGCAATGTTTTTTAATATAAATCACTACCTTAAGTAAACATGTTTTTTTTTTGTAGAATAAAGAAAAGCTGGAGAAGCTTCGCGGCCAGTCAGAACAGTTCTGCCAACGTCTTGGCCGCTACCGCATGCCCTTCGCCTGGACCGCCATCCACCTGATGAACATTGTGAACAGTGCTGGCAGTCTTGAGAGAGATACAGAGCTGGAGATGAGTCTATCAGGTCTGACCTTCCCTTTTAACACAACCCTTCAGATTGTACCTGTAAACATACAGGATGTATTTCAGTATCAAGTTGTGCAGTCACAGTGTGGAGGCACAAAAAACCTTGGTTAATGTTTTTATACTTCTAACCACTCACAGCCTCAATGTCACATGCACTTATCAGGGACAGAGACCGTGACAGAGTCCTCCAGTCATGCATCAGACTTATGGGCATGTTCAATACATTACCACACTTTAAAATCTTTATCTAAAAACAACGTTTCAACAACAAATAGTTAGAAACGCAAATTTAAACAGAGAGTTAAACACCCAACGTATCCAGTCATATTGATTTTTGGTGTGTTATTTTGAGTTTGACCTTTGGTGTTTGTCTAACCCTTAACCTCACAAGGTATCTTTGATGCTGTATGTGGTGTATGCCATTTTGTTGCTAGGCAGAGCCGAGAAATTTTCTGCCACATTGGACAGAATAAAATATGGGATTAATCTTGAACCTGTTGTAGCATCCCTTGAAAGAAAAGTTATCAATAATCAGAATTTAAGATTTTAAAAATGCTATTATTGTTTTTTTTGCCTGTCTGCAGAGAGAAAAGGCTCATGGTCAGAACGGAGGAACTCGAGCATCATGGGAAGGCGTTCCCTGGAGAGGACCACCAGTGGAGATGAGTCATGCAGTCTGACAGGCTTTAGACCTGCAACACTTACCATCACCAACTTCTTTAAACAGGTCACAAATACCACACACACAAGTCTCAAATATTGAAATATATGTATTTTCTGGATTTCTTGGAATACTCAGACAAAGAGGGATATATCCTCTAATGTATCTTTTTAATTAAATTGTTATATGCTGCATATGTGTTTTAGGAGGGGGACAGGCTGAGTGATGAGGACTTGTACAAGTTCCTAGCTGACATGAGAAGGCCTTCTTCAGTGTTGAGGAGGCTCAGACCCATCACAGGTACAAACATGAATCGAGTGTTCTGTTTTCTTAGTAGTTGTTGGCACCTGGCACACATCTCTAGTTGGCATGATGTTTCCTTTGAATTACTTGGAAATTTGAAGACGTGAACCACTGATGTTTCAAATTAATGTATCCTTTTTCTCTTTCTTTACCTCCTTACTTGTACACTCCCTTCCCGCTCTGTCCTCTGTGGTTGTCACCACAGCCCAGTTGAAGCTGGACATTTCTCCAGCTCCAGAGAACCCCCACTATTGCTTGACCCCTGACCTTCTGCAGGTTAAACCTTACCCAGACAGCAGGGTACGCCCCACCAGGGAGATCCTGGAGTTCCCTGCCAGGGACGTCTATGTGCCAAACACCACATACAGGTACAGAAAAACTTTTTTTTTTTGTTTTCGTTTCATATCTTTCAGTTCATTTGATTTTTGTCTGCAAAATATATTCATTTGTCAAGATAAAGCTTTCTCTAAATAACCTGTCAGTAGGTTGCAAAAATACAAGCAGGTTTTAACTATTTTAACTTTAAAGAAGACAAATTAATCAATTTGAAATCTATTTAAGCAGTTACCCTACCCTGTTGGGCTTTTTTGGAGAGTTACATTGATAGCTTGTTAAAGGTGAATATAAGCAAAATGCCAAATGCTTCATGAGCTGCATGCAAACTCTCACTTTAGTAATCACTGAGTCAGTGAAGGATGACAACCTCAATCAAAGCCCAAACACATCTTCACCCTGTAAAAACCAGTACACATCTGTTTAAGCTTTGCACATTGATGACTGACACCGGCTTGTTAATGTTCACCTCATGTTTGAACAAGTCCTATTTTTGTCAAGGTCAGTTGAGAGATGTTCCTATTAGCGTACGTTGCTGCTGACACGGTCTCGCTACCACAGGCCTTGTTTGTCTGCAGATAACCAGGTGCCTTCCTATTGTAGATTAACTGATGCCAAACCTAATTGATCCACCGCTGGAGCCAACATATCTGGGTGAAAGGAAATATGATGTTGCATTTTAAATCTGCTTCTTCTTTTTTTAATCATTGTATTGCAAAAAGAAGGTTGTCTGTGATCACAAGTTTTCCAGAAGCCTTATTGTTTGATATTCTTATCCATCCCTACGTTTTCTTTAAAGTATATGTCAGATATACTCTATGAGGTGATTGAACCTGAACGCAGATTACTAATCTTTATCAAGCAACCCCTTTTTTATAAGCTGTGAGCAGCAGGATACAGGCCCTTAGCTGGAAAACAACATATTGTTTTATGGTTTATACTGAACCATAAAATGAATGAATGTATTGTCTTACTGACTGTAATGGCAGCCCGTTCTTCATCTTACATGTAATACTAGAATTATATGAAGTCAGTTTCTTGGCTTATTTTGCTTTAGTAGTAAAGTTATAGATCACCACACTGTAAAAAATGCAGTCATGTTAAATCATTTCGTCATGATTTTTATTTTGTTTTCATAAATATGATTTGTTAGAGCATGTAGCTACTTGTCAGGATGACATGTTAGTATGAGGCACATTTACAGTACAGTTAGTTATGTTCTATTAATGGACAAGAGTCAATATGACTCAATAACAGGAAATACACAGAAATTATGTTTTTCTAACAATACCAGCATAAATCAGATAATAGCATGAACGTAGTTTAAATACTTTACAGAGTAAAAAAAAAAATTGAACAATCAAAGGGAAAAACTTCATCAGTGTGCTGCCAAAGCTTTAAATCTCCAATATTTTGGTCTGTATTTGTACAGCTGACATTGCCCCCACTTTGTAGATTTTTCCCCATGAAACTGGGATTGAAGCAGTGTAAAATACAGGACAAAAATTACAAGACCTTCATTCACAACACTTCACCAGTATGAACACTTTGAGATTTTGTTGAACCCTGACTTATATAATTTGCATGCTTTATGTAATAACCTTGGTTGGTATTTGTGCCTGAAGCTTCTTGAAACATGCAACAGTTTTACACCACAAAGATAAATAGCTAACATAGAAGCTGTCAAATACATTTAAATTCACTAAAAAGATAGCCAAGCAATCTCAGTTTTAGAACTGCTATATTATATCCCTCATAGTTTTCTATCTTTCTGCTGTAGTACTTTGACATTATGCAGCCACTGAATCAGGTTACGGATGGATCAATATGTCCATTTTGCAAGTGATTGCAAATGTTGCATAATGACAGTTCTACTGTCCCGGCTGGATCTGACCCAATAGGCTAATGACCTGCGTGGCATGGTTGCATCATTATGACTGTTCAGCATATTCTGCCATTTTTGGCTCGTTATCTGTGAGCCAGCACCAACCTCAGACAAAACAATGTGAGGAAGCAGTCAGCCTAATGTTGCAGATAAACTAATAATTTGGTGTTGTAGACATATAAAATGTCTGTGTTTCCCCATCTATGGAATGTGTTGGCTGAGTGTTAGAATCAGTGTTTGTGAAAAATGCCAGTAGTGTTGTAAGAGAAGGTATGACTTGTGGGGTTCAGTTAAGGCCTTCAGCTGGTCGTATGGTGATCTTGGTCATCTTGAGGGAATATGAGGGTCCTGTGCCGGGCTTCCAATGAATGCCCCTCCTTCTCATGGAGCGTCCTTTTGCCCTCAACCACAAATACCTTGCATTAAGGTTTGTCTCTCCACAGCCATTGAACCACCAGCCACCTGCCAAAGGGTCAAGATAAGATACACAGGTTATATAAACCAAACTTGGTCATTTCAAGTTAAACTTAACACAGTGACCTTCTTTGGTAAGTGTTTTATATACCACCAAAAAAACATTGTTTTAGTATATTCTTTCTATGGCTATGATGGAAATACAGGTCACCAGGAAGCCCGTGTGCTGAATCAGCTTGTAAAACTGTTTACCTGTGTAATTGCGAGCGCAGTTGGAGTTTCTTTGGTTGTCATTATTTCTGTCTTTTGTAGAGAATCTCATACTGGTGCTGTTGGCCATGGCATCAGGCAGGTCACCAGAGAAGTGACTGACATGAAGTGTGTAGTCCTTGGAGGGACCATCTAGTGAGAAGCGGTACTCAGCCCAGTGCTTATCCTCTTTCCAGTCCTCCAAGTCAATACGCAGGATGTAAACTCCCTGCTGTGTAAAGCTGTGGATCTTCTTTAAGCCCAACCAGAAGTCCTCTGCATAAGACATTAATCAGGTTTTATCTTGTTAGGATATTTCTAATGTGGGAAAAAAAGTCACCCTCTTTCTATTAGCAGGGAATCTTCAAAGGTTATAGATTTCATTTTATTCATTTCAAATAGGAAATTCCTGAACCTTTTTTTTGATAATTTCCCTTGCACAATTTTTTTTATTCAGTTATTTTAGAGTCAGCCTTCTTTAATCAGAGCAAGCATGCATGTCTATGCACTTTGCCTCTGTCTGGGATTGCTTCATGTAAATGTAAGGTATAATCATTCTTAGGTTGGTAGTTGTGAAAGAGCGTTGCAACTAAAATCCATGCCTGCAGGAGCCATTATTTTGGAAGGTAGTATGACTGAACCAGTGAGCTGCTGTCTGAGTCAGTGAGTTCTGTAGAGAACGCTGCCAAAATGTGTGTACTCAGACAATACAGGAAGCCACTTACTGATATGACTGATACTGAATGACTGATATTTAACAATTGCTATTTCCTATGACCAGGCCTACAGGAAGTACTTGTACTATTATAAGTGTTATTACTTTCCCTTAGCTCCTTTTTGAAGTACAGACTGCACAACAATTTATTTGTTTAGTATCCCTTTTTAAGAGTTATTAATTGATGTGTATTTATTAAGAATACAAAAAATGGAAATTGTATATGGTTTTGCCAAATGATATAAGTACTCACTCTCCAGATTTCCAAAGCCTTTATCATACTTGTCCCATGTCTGGTCAAAATCCACCGAACCATCGACCCTGCGTTGGATGACAGTTGAACCCCCATCTAGGCAATGGATCAGAAACATATTTCAAGTCAAGTTTCTGTTGAAGCCACTCAGACGTTTACGTTTTTCCTGCCCCATGTCAGTACTTTTTTTTTACTATCTCCCTTAGAACTCAGATTGCTGTACTGTCACCCACCTGAATCCATTTCACAGTAAACGTTGAATGGCTCCGATTGGTTTGGCTTGATAACATAGATTCCACTGTTTGTCTCTCCTTTGTTAAACAAGTCACTACAGTCCTTGGCGAGCTCTGAAACACAATGAAGAAAATCACATTGAATGCATTCAAATTTCCCCAAACTGTTGCATCCTCCTTAATTTTATTTACATTACATCTTTACATCTTATGTTTATGCCAACAAACAACTGCTAATACATTTCAAATAATTTTACCATTTGTTTCCAGGCCAGTTGAGTTTCCTGTCAGATATTCGAACATATCAGAAGCTGCAGAGTTTGAATCCATTGGCTTATCGACTGTATCTTGAAAACTGTCAATGCTTATCTGCAAAAGAGTGCAAATTAATCCACAATGTTAAATTATGTTGTCTGTCATAGAGAGTAAGGCATATCTATCCATCCTTCCCCATATTCATATTCCATTTCTGTGGAATTTAAGTTGTCTACCTTTTCCTCCAGATTTTTTATCTTCATTTTCTGGTTGTCGAGCTGATCATGCTGCTCCCTCACAGCATTCAGCAGATTGGTAATTGTTTTCTCTTGCGCTTCAATCACTTCCTGAAAATACACAATAAAAATTGTTGCATCAATGTTTTAAAGAGCATCTGTTGACCCTGTCGAAGTACAGGTTTCTTTAGTATTTTTTCCCTTAATGATTATAATTGTTCATTAAATGCATTTCCATTGTTAACTCGACTTGAGGGAAACTTTTGGTCAAGTTTTTATTGGCTTACTTTTGTCTTTTGATGTGAATATATTATCCAGTCACTGTCACTGATGCAGTCTTAAATAAGGAACTCTGAGGAATTGCTTCAGCACATATCAGTTGCTTACCTTTAGCGTTGTGATTTCAGTGAGCTGGTCAACAGGGACCATGGTCTCCGACAGTCCCTTCAGCCTCTCCTCGAGGCTCCCCACTTTGCTCTGCAGCTGTGTACGCTCCTGCAGGATGTTGTTGATCTTGGAGTTGATTTCTAGCGACAGGTTCTTGATCTCCTCATTGTTGGCCTTCAAGAAATTGGTGGTTTTCTTCAGCTCCTCCTCTTCCTCTTTGATCTCTGATGTGACTACTGAGAGCTGGTAAAAAGAACGGTCAAAAATATTCAGCTTCTGGAAGATGTCATTGATTTGGGCTTTGGTCTTATGGACAAACTCCCTTAAACTCTGGCCTAGCTGAAGGAGACCGTTTGCAAGTAGACGAACATCATCCAGCATGGCGAAGCGAGACTTTCCCTCGGTTGGGCTTGGTGCTGTGGTAGAGGCCTGCGAGGGCACGGTGGGGTACTCTTCTCTACCTGAGGATTCCAGAGGGACAACAGTAGCCGACGTAGCTAGCAGCAGCAACAGGCAGAACAGCTTCATCATGACTTTCTTGTCCAATCCTGGATTGTGAAATATTTTCTAACAGTGTTTCAGTGCTCTTGCTTCCCTCTACTTTGTGCTATTCTCTGCAGTCTTTTCCCTCTCTCTGCCTATAAGCTAGGCTTCCTTGCTGTTTAAATGATGTGAGAGCAGCAGGCTGCCCTGTGTTATATACTGCCCTCTCAGTAGAGGAGGGGCGGATTAGCTGATCATTAAACCCTACTATGTTTTAGCTCTGTACCCTACCTCCTCCCAAATCCCCCTCGAGCCCTCCCTCTCCTGAACAAACAAATCACAGCAGTGAGCAAATGACCTATACATCCCCCCCTTCTCTACCACCCATTTAACCCCAATCCCCTCTCCATACCACACCCTACCCTGTTCTCCATCTGTGGTGCAGAGCTTTAGCTGATCAGCAGAAAGTCAACAATGGCCATCACAGGTTTTTGATGGATCGTCAGTCTGATCAATCTCAAACCTTATAACCCTGCACACACTTTGCTCTGATTGATAATGCTGTGTGTAATTAATGTTCTTGGGTTTGATTTAGCATCCTGCTGAATCAGCCTAGTACCACGTTCTCTTTTCCTCTCTCCCTCCTCCTTCTCTCTTTGCGTGGGGAAGGGAGTGAGCTTGTCATCTATGCCAGGGTTGAGCTTCTGGGCATGAATGATGTTGGAGATTTTGGACAGTGTGTACTCATCATCTCAGTTTTATTGCTCAGCCTTGTCATTTTTTTTTTCAAGTTTGTCATGCCTTGTGTGATATTTTTCAGTGGCACCAGACATGAAATGGGGAATATATAGGTTACTGATTAGCTTGCAGCTTTTAAAGGATCATTCCTGTGCACTCAGTCCTGTCGTAAAAAACAGTCTTTATGGGAAATTCTTAGTAAGTTGTTTCACGCAGACTTGCAATGTTGGTGAAATATGTCCACCTTCAGCCAGAGAGAGGGAGGAGGAACTAATCAGTGAAATGACTTGGTGTAGTATTTAATTAGAATATAAATATTTATACTTTTGGCACTCGATGCTGTGTGGTTCCCAACCTCTAAAGTAAGCTTGTGCTGTTATGTGGTGTGAAAAAGGCGGAGAAGAATTGCTGTGTCATGCAGTCATAGCCTTTTCTGGCTAATCAAAGCTTACAATTGTTTCTTATTCATACTGGCATGTGGCAAAGGGAAGATTGTTACGTTATTATGAAAAAGTTACGTAGTCACAAATACTGAAAATACTGAGATATTTGGCACATCGCCTCTAGTTAGCTTTGTTTTAAAATGAAAACGTTTTAGCACTCTGGCTGTTAAAGTGCACCTTAAAATACCACACATTCATTGTAATGAGCTTTCTCTGGTAATTTGCGGTTATATGGATGGATTACCTCAGTTCTCAGTAATGAAGGACTGCTACTTTTCTTTACATAGGAACAGTGCAGAAAGAAAGGGTCTTACAGAAAGGAAAAATGTGGCCATGGATTGAGTGAATGCGCCAGGAATTTGCTTGATCAGCATAAAGCTGGTAATGATATTCAGTATCCTTTATGCCAGCACAGTGGTTAGCACTGTGGCTTAACAGAAAGAGGGTTAGGGGTTTGAACCTAACATGGCTTGCTGGGGCCTTTCTCTGTGTAACTGCCATGTTCAAATTTCAAACATGGCACTGAACCACCTCAGCAGTCATCTGACGTAACATGATGCCTGTTGGCTATGTTTGTTCTCTCCATTCTAATTTGATTCAAATTTTTAATTGTCCATGTTGCTGTATCCGTATCTATACTGTATTTTTGTATCATGCATGCAAGCATCAGTTTAGCAGCCAGCTGCTTTTGAACTTCAACCCCTCCCCTTGGCATTTGGTTTTGGTGTGCCACCCCAAGGTTTTCAGTGGACCCATCTTGTCACCCCGATGAAAAAAAATAAGGTCGCACCACTGTGTTTAGAGTCAGTAAACAATAAAACCCTTATGTAGCCACTAGGCTCAAAATAGGGAAGGTCAGTAGCCGTCATCTGAAAATTGGGATTATATTGGGAGATCTTCAAAGTTTGCCATACAGAGTTTGCTTTCACAGTACTCCTGAGTACTGATTAACCTTAGTTGAATCTGATGAGAAGAACTGACCAATCAGTGATACTGCTATTTGTGCTTATATGGGTATTTCAGATCTGCCACAATAAATTTATCTTGGGGTCTATTTCAGTTCAAATTCAACAACCCACTTAAAAGCTTCCATTGTAATTGTTAGGACATGCTAGATGGGTGGTAACTAATCTAATCATCAGAAAGATTCCCACGCTTTCTTGTCAGTTGTGGTTCCAGCTGTGGTCTCTGTGGGGCCATCCCCTACAGACTTGTCTACGTCATTGTGGTTTATCAGCTGATCGTGGGTTACTTTGCACTTCCCATTGTCCTCCCCCTTCCCAACAGTTTAGCAACCAGTGTTTTGTACAGTACAGTACCATTTCTTTTGCCGACAACAATGGTCATGATTTTTGTTTCTTACAACACATTAATATGTTTTAACTGTAAAGTTGTGAGGCAGAATCAATGCAGGCCCACCATACAGTTTATGCCAGGAAACAGTGTGCTGTTACATAATGTAATGTTATGTAATGTGATTTTCATGATGGTTAACTCTCTTGACCAGCGCTCAACAAAGTGCTGTCCACTGTAAGTTACACATTGCAGAGAGGTTAACCTGGTTGGTGTGATGATGCACAATTGTTTTCTTTAATGTTACTGGCTTTACAGTTTGATTGATGGGGATAACAACCTCTCATTGCATCTCTCAAATTATCATCAATTATTTTAGACAAATAGCCATCTACAGTGAAACTCCATTATGTATTTTGAGTATCTGATAAGTTACTATGCAGCCTTATCAGATGTTGTATGGATGCTAAACTCCACTGTTTATTTCCAAAACAGTTATTAATGGAAGCCATATAACTCATGTATTTTAAAGCTGTAATTCTGCTATATGCATTTTTTTTTTTTGGAAGGAATGTAATGTAAAAGTCTAAATGATGAAAAATACTTACTTTCTATCTTTTACATACTATAAAATTAATGATTTTGTACATGCGTTACTTAAATGACATAATTAATAATGCATCTTTTTTTCTCTGTTTGTGTCTGTATCCATGTCTGTCTTTTAGGAATCTGCTGTATGTGAACCCTCAGAGTCTTAACTTTGCCAACCGCCAAGGCTCTGCCCGCAACATCACAGTCAAAGTGCAATTTATGAATGGAGAGGATCCAAACAATGCAATGCCGGTACGCCGTGATGAGAAACAATTCTTGCTTTTGAATTTAGTTTAGTCAGCCATCCTAGTTGTATGTACTGTTATTTTGACAACTAATGACTCTCACCTTTTGATGGTAAAGTGAAAACACTGGTTCAATGTAGTAGTCTTTGGTAAAAGCAATGTAACAACACTGCATTGTTCTACAAATATGTATGCTCTGGGTAAATACATGTTGACAAAGAGTCATAATTAACATGTAACATGGCTTCTTTTTATCCCTAAGGTGATATTTGGGAAGTCCAGCTGTGCAGATTTTGCTAAAGAAGCCTATACTGCTGTGGTGTACCATAACAGGTAAGTTCTTTCTCTTTTGGCATCTTTTGTAAAGAGTGCAGTAGGGAACCTGCAATTGTGATGATGATGAAATGGAGGTAAAACTACACTAATTCAAATATCCAAACATTTGGACCTAATATATATCTTTGATGGCATTAATTGAAGAATGGGTTGTGTCAACCTTCTGGGTCAAGTGGTGTCCTTGGGACAAGTTTCTTCCATCTCGACATAAGAGCTGAGGGGTCTCTAAAATTTTATCACCACTATTAGGTGTTTTTTTTTTTTGTTTTTTTTACAACATCCAGCGGTTTGTCATTTGTCACCCAAGGATCACACCTTCAAGGCTAAAATGAATCAACCTGTGAATAATGTACCACTGTGACTAGGATAATCATGCACCAGGACTTAATCCAGACCTTAGATGTGCTTATTGGTAATGGTCAATTACAGTCTGAATTCCACTCCACAAATTCACCTTTGTGCTCAGCCAATAACCCATTATCTTTTCCATTGTGGTAAAAGTTGCTTCTAGTACTTTTCCGCCTTGAGGATTTTTCTTTTTCTGGTCTATAACCAAAATGTTTGTTCCCATGAGAAATGAGGGCCCTTCTGTGAACTTTTTAAGCAGATTTAGTCATTTCCAGCTTTAAGGCGATCCTAGTTGGTTTGTCGATGAGCCTGCTGTTGTTTGTTTCCTCCTGGGGGACTATAAAGAATTCAGCTGAAGTGAATTATGATGTGTTGTGTAATTTCTTTATTTTTAGATTACTTGACTTCCACTATGTACCCCTGCTTTGTCTTGAGACAAAGGTTTCCAAGTTATAAAAACACTGTAAATAGAATAGATAAAGATTTAATTAGATTTGGACGGATGAAAATGAAGTAAATCAAGGCTGTAGCTAGTATGTATGTCTGTCTAGCTGTTATCTTAAAGCATGGGAAAAACCTTTTCAGTAGTTTTGAATTTGTAAATGTCCTCTGGTAAAGCAGTGGGAGGACCCTATAGATATGTATTATTTTCCTATTTAAAAACATGTAAAAACAGTAAAAACTGAACTTTTATCCATCCAGCAGAAGCTTTGTCTAAAGCCAGACATTGTTTTGGTTATATAGTGAGTTCAGGCAATGGGAGATCCATAGTTAATGTGGATATAATTAGAACTGGAATGTGTAAGTGCAATGCCCTTGAGATGACAGCCTGAACCACATGACTTGTTTTTATGTAGTTTGGAAACTAATCTATTGTGGGTGACTGTCTTCCCTATTCTATCTATTTATTGAATGTAAAATAGCTTGTAATACTGTTGTTGAATAGTTTCATATCATTGTTACTAATTGTACTAATGAACAGATCCCCTGACTTTCATGATGAGGTCAAGATCAAGCTGCCTGCCTCCCTGTCGGACCACCACCATATTCTCTTCACCTTTTACCACGTCAGCTGCCAGCAGAAGCAGAACACACCACTGGAGACCCCAGTGGGATACACGGTAGGTAACAGTTATACGTACAGCTGCAATGACCACGTAGTCTGTTACTGTGGTTTAAGTTCACAGCTGTTTGTGCGCTCAGTTCTGCAGTGTTCATGCAGGCGTAGGTGTAAACTTGACATACTCATTCACGCCTGTGTTACACACAGTTAGGTTGATTCTCTCTTCCACACAGTCACAGACTGTTCTCATCTTGTAAAAAAACACACAGTTTTAAGTTTATATGTGAAGCATTAAAGATATCACAGCAAATTTAGAATGTATACTAAATGCAAAATAATATCCTCTGTGTGTTTTTTGTCCTCTGTATTCTCTTTTGATCTGTTTTTCTCTCCCTCTTCCACCAGTGGATCCCCATGCTGCAGAATGGGCGTCTGCGGACAGGGCACTTCTGTCTGCCTGTGTCTCTGGAAAAACCACCACAATCCTACTCTGTCCTCTCACCAGATGTATGACACATTTTTTAAAGAGTGTTTTTAAAGTATGAATGAATTATTTAAAGTAGGAAAAAGGTATAAATTTAGGAAATATGTATTTCCATTTTTTTCATGTATGGTAAAGAATTGATGTGTCGCAGGCAACCCAGGTAAAGTGTTGAGCACAATCAAATGATTGTGTTTTTGAGAAATATATTATGCTCCAGCATGCTGTCAGAGAGTCCTGGAGTACCCTTTGTAATATAAAAAGGGTGAAATGGAAAGGCTTCGGACAGCCTTTAAATCTTTTTAATTTAAGAAGGATCGCAGCCTTCCACGCACAGTGACCAATCGTTTATTTGCACTGCTTGAAAATGTTTGTTTTGCCAGTGCAGCACGGTTATTCTGGTATTATTGTATTCCAGGTTCCTCTCCCAGGGATGAAGTGGGTGGACAACCATCGAGGAGTATTTAATGTGGAAGTGGTGACTGTTTCAACCATCCACACGCAGGTAACAGTACTGTATACAATAGTGTTTGGGGGAATTTGTGTATTAAGCTTCATCTCCTCTCATCCTCTCCACTCTGTCTCATCTTATCTGTTATCATCTGGATATATTTGAGCAGAGGGAAAATGGTGCTGGAAGATTAAAGACTTAAATAAGAATAAGAATTAATAAGTGTTTTTATGTAATATCAATTACCATATAATGATGTCCATAAGCATCACCCACAGGTTATTTAAAATTTAAATTACACTAAAGAGAAACAAACACAGTGTTTTCAAATTTAGACAGTAATTCCACCCTGCCACCGGTTCATTACTGGGTGAAGCTCGCCTCGCCAGTAATTTACTGGGGTCTACTCCATCTCTGTGTCGGCCAGAGTGTAGAGGGCTTGACTGTGGTCCCTAGGAGCCTAACTGGGACTAATGTGCTCATAAATCACTGCTCCTGGCGCAGATTAGACTTGCTGGATTCTATTGTGTTCTCGCAGTAAGGTTCGTTTTGTAGTTTCCACTTGGTGAGCCAACTTACAGACGAGAAGATCCAAGCTTACTTTTGTTTATCAACTCCTTTCCCCCTTTTTCTCCTTCACCTTTCTGTGCCTTTAACACTGTTATGTTTTTTCTTTTCTCTCCATCCATCTTCATCCTTTCTTTCTCTCTTCCTCTCTTTTGTTCCTTTACCATCCGTGTCTTTCTGTATACCATTTTCTGCATTGTCTTGCATTTGTGTTGCCAACAAATTTCTAACTTTCTCATCTCCTTTGCGGCCCCACCCCTACAACTCCTCCTCTCTAGGATCAGTACCTGGATAAGTTCTTTGCCTTGGTGCACGCTCTAGACGAGCACATGTTCCCAGTCAGAATAGGAGACATGCGCATCATGGAGAACAACCTGGAGGCCGAGCTCAAGTCAAGCATTGCTGCACTCAACTCTTCCCAGCTGGAGCCAGTGGTTCGATTCCTTCACCTTCTGCTCGACAAGTTGGTGTTGCTTGTAGTGCGGCCGCCAGTCATTGCTGGGCAGATAGGTATGATATTGTACTGTGATTTTACAACAGCTTGGACATAGAAAGGGACTAAAAAGGGATTTGTGTGGGCCCATACACATACTGTAACTCTGTGTGTATATGCTGTACTCCTAATCGATGTCTGTATTTTTGCACGTGTCACTTTGCTTTGGTCTGTACCTCTTTTTATGTCTGTGTGTTTAGTGAATCTGGGCCAGGCATCATTCGAAGTCATGGCATCTATAGTGAACCGGCTGCATAAGTACCTGGACACCAGCCAGGACATGCATGGCCGCAACGGTCTGCTGTCCTCTTATATCCACTACGTCTTCCGCTTGCCCAGCACTGACCCCAACTCGCCCTCTCCAGGTATTTTACTGTCAATACAGTTTACCACCTCATATTTTCTTTATTCTATGTCTGTTTTTCTGTTTTCTCCTTTTTAAGTTAACTTCATCCAACCCCAAACTTATCCTCACTGGGTTTCTATTATCAAACCTACCTGCCATAATTTTTCTTCTTCTATTTCTTTTATGTTTTGCTTTTTTCCTCCCACATCTATTTTGTCTTCTGCCTGCCCAACACAGACCCCAACTCATCTGTAACAGGTAGATATGGCCCACCACTGTACATCCTAATCTGTGTGTAATTGTTCTTCCCTCTAAAATTAAAATTACCCTCAGTTTAATATTAGAGCATTTGATGTGTCATACAGGATTCCCAGCAACCATCCACTGCCAAGACAGAGGCAGGGTTGGTACCAATATAAATGTGGGTATAGGGAACAAAGTTAAAGGTAATTTTCCCTCCTCTGTGTCTTGTCCCAGGCCCCGGAGGGTTGGGAGGTTCAGTTCACTATGCCACCATGGCTCGCTCAGCTGTTCGACCAGCCAGCCTCAACCTCAACCGCTCCCGTAGCCTTAGCAACAGTAACCCTGACATCTCTGGTACACCCACCTCTCCTGACGATGAGGTCCGCTCCATCATTGGCAGCAAGGTAAGGTCATCCAATCTCCTTTGGTTAAACATAAGGCTCAAACTTGTTTTATCTCAGTTCTTTTAGAGTTCACAGGTGGTCCTAATGTAGACAGAACCAGCAGACGTTGCTAATAATGGTTGCAGTTATGCAGCCCTATTGCAATATTTGGCTTGTCCACACTGCCTGTGGATGTCAGATATCGGAGTTAAATATTTAACATTGCTGTAGTCCAGTAGCTCTCTTCATTTGTGATTTATTGTAGACCTGCATATAGATCTTAAACCACATCAAGGCAGAGGCCTTCCATGTGCACAGTGACCCGGGGGACTACTTTATCAACATGTAAACTGTATAGCCAATGGGTAAACACAAGATTGGACATCTTATCTCTCTAACCCCTGTAACAGCAACCTGATGTACACACATACGCATAAACACACAATGCTCACTGTTTGCAGGTTGTGAAAGGCAAGAGAGACATTTAGTTTACGGTCACATCAGTAGACGGATGCTGTCAAGAAGATACAAGAGCACATTGTTTCAATAGTCATATATCTTTTGAAGACATAAAGAAATGCTTACTCTTGTCAGTCTCTGGTTTTCTTTGTTTCTTCTTATTATTTGTTTAATTTATGTGTTGTCATATATTTTGTCTTGTATAAATTTTTTATCTAACCCAAAAGTACCTGAGCAGTGAGTGAATGCAGCCCCTTGTTTGATGATGTTCCCTTTGCTGCTAATACTTAACTAAACCTTTCTTCTCTTGTCTCTGAGGGAGAGAAAGTTATTTCTTACAGAGACAGAGAAAGGGAGAGAGATAACCTATGTGCTTTGCTCCTCTGTGGTGATGATTTGGATTTTTAATTTACTGACAGCTAACCTTTTTTTGGTCCTTTGGCATCTTCCAGCAGTCCTGACCTCTGAACCTCTTTAACCTGTCATTATTCCTTCCCTCCTCCTTCCCCCGTGCGGCTCGCTCATTCCCTTGCTTCCTGCCTGCCTTGTGTCCTTTGACCTTGGCACGCCTAGGGCTTAGACCGCTCCAACTCGTGGGTGAACACCATGGGCTGTAAGAGTGCCCCCTGGGGATCCAGCCCTGGGTCCGCTCCAGAAACCATGCAGGTGGTTTTATGAATGCCCCGTCCTCCACTTTGCCTCACTGCAAAAACAACTCACCCTATTCACATTGAAGGGATATTGGGATATTTGGAGTTTTGGTTTATTTGTGTACTTTGCTAAAGTTACCGAAAGAACGGCGAAGGTCGGGGCAATCCATATCCTCCCTTATAAGTATTTCAAAGTTTCCATTTTTATATCCTGTTGTTATGATCATATCCGATTGTGGAGGAATTTTAAGTGACACTACTATGATTGTCAACCATCTACGTTTCTGCAGAGTATAGAGATTCCTAGTGACTAGGTTAACACAAAGACATAAAAGACCAAAACTTCGGAATATTACAGTATTCTGGTAAACTTTAAATCACAACCCTACCATGATCCCATACATGGGAATCACAGCCACCTCCATGACCCTCTATCTCTCATGTTGGTGTCTCGGGCATCATCCCTCTAACTTATTTACGTATCTAACACCTCCCTTTTTCTCAGTACTTGCACAAAAAGACACATAGTCTAAATCCAAATATTTCAGAGCTAGTTTACCAGTTATTCATGGCAGCAATTTCTTGAACATTGTTGGCCTCGCTTTCTTTCCGTCAAGCTTGCCTGACATTTTGGGTTTACAGTGATCAGTTACAGTTAAACCAAGACACACTGTGATCTTTTTGTGTCTGTATATTTCACAGGATTTTTGGAGTAGTAGAGAAAAGGAGTAGTGTTAGAAATCATCTTCATCAGTAAAGTAGATGTTGTTTTTTACATTCATTTTATTTGATCTATTATTTCCTTTTCTTCTTTTCTGCTTCTAACACAATTATTCACTCTCTCTGCTTTAACCTCATAGTCTTCACGCTCAGCTAGTATCCCTGCATGACTTTCTACTAAACCTACATAGCATTCACTTTGTCACTGGAGCATGGTGTATCTGAGAGTGAGAGTGTATGTCTGTCTACATGTGTGATGTCTGTCAGCTTCACTTTCCATCCTCATGTGATGTCATGTCTTCTGTCATTTTAAGTTGTCACTAATTCACAACTTATTATGAATATCAAGCTAAAATTAATTCTCCATATTGTAATTACAGATTACAATATTAAATGAATTGTGCCACCATTGACAGAGCACGTACATTATCAACCTGGGATGGGACATTATGTTACTCTACCTACCAATAATAATATCTTTAATATTGTAGGATGTTTTATTGTTATGCCATTTTACATGTCTGAAGTATTGTATTTATCCGGAGGGATGCGGAATGGCTCACCATTAATCAATGGCTGTAAGATCAAGAAATGAAAACCAATACAATGTCTTTACTTGAACTCATTGCCTGTTTTACAGCCATTTTGCATCCCTTCTTTAAGGTACACAAACTACCAATGTTATCTGACTGTTTTAGATTATGGGTACAACACTTTGTGTTGTGGCCATGTCCAGTGTCTAATTGTTGTGTGTCTCCATGTATGAAAAGTGTGTGCAAGAGATCACAAAGGTGTGTAGCGTGCATGTGTGTGTGTGGGTGACCTAGCAGACACATTTTCCCTGTGTGCTGAGGAAAAAGGTGCAACCCCACGCTCCCGTTGCTCCTCCACTAACCTTGTTGTCACCGTTCCATTCATCCCACCCATAGGCCATGGAGCGCTGTGGCAATCGCATGTCTTCGCACACTGAGAGCGCCAGTTTCTTGCAAACTTTAACAGGACGGTTGCCCACAAAAAAGGTAGAGCCACTTGCACTGGGGGAGGAGCCAACCCCGCCCACCTCTTTACTCGCCTCTTCACCTGTCTTGTCTGTGAATGTGTGCCTCTGTATTGATTGATGTCGTATTTTGTGGTTGTGGAGTCTTGTTGAATGCTGAATGTCACCGGTCTGCCTCATGTTCCGAATGTCTCGAAGAGTTTTTGATGTGACATGAATGTTGGTCGTAGTCTGGGTATCGCTATCTGGCTAACTTAGTCTGGGAAGTCTCCTTTCTTTGCACACTATTCACTCAGGCATTGAGTGCATGTGTGTTTGGTTTTCATTCCACTATGACCCTAAAAGAGATACTGTACCAGGTATTATTATTAT